TTTTCTGTTCAAGCAATACTATTTGAATTTTTTACTAAGAGACTGATAATGTTGTCTTATCTGGATTTGGCAAAATTTAAGAAGCAAAGTTCTTTAGCTTAGGTTAGCAACATTATTAAAATTAGATTAAATGTATTCACCTTATTTCGTTTAAGGTGATGAAGGACTTGCCCGCAATGATATGAGTAGAGCTGACATTTCCATTGAATTTAACAGAGCTTTGCTCTTCCAAAAGTTGTTCTTATCTAGGATGGACTGCAGTACCTTTGGGTCACAGGACAGATGTGAATCTTAAGGAAGGCTAGACCTTACTTATTTTTTGTATGTTAGTAGAGTTTCGAGACTACCAATGAATCAGTTATATGTAATGTAACGTAGTCGATTGTTATAGCAAAACTACGTTTGCTTTATCGACAATCCCACTAAAGAATGTTATATGGGAAAAGGCTTGGCCTTCCTCGAAATTCACATATGCCCTGTGACTTAAGGGCACTCGTGGCGATGTGGCCGAGTGTTTAACGTGTCAAGCTCACATTCTGCACTGTGACCCAAGGGCACTCATGGCAATGTGGCCGAGTGGTTAGTGTGACAAGCTTACATGCTGCACTGTCACGGTTCGACTCCCGCTGGGGGTATTTATAAGACCTATGCGAGGTCGAAACTGCAGCCCATCCTGGATGAGAACAACTTTTGGGAAAACACAGCTATGTGAAATTCACTGGAAGCGTCAGCTCTACTCATATCATTGTGAGAAAGTTCAACTAACATTCCTTCATCACTTTAAACGAAATATTTTGAATACATATCATATCATTAAACTTATTTGCACTATTGAAAATAAGTTATATAAAACTATATTCGAAACTTCACATAGCTTTACTAAAATATTCCCACAAGTCCGTTTAGTGCAATCGCTTTCTGGACCAGTACATAGACCACGTATCAAGTTGGAATGGCTCTTGCCTGCAACTTAACTATACAAGCTTGGGTACATCTTTGCTGGTCTATATAATGATCACCAGACTCCATACTACATCATAAAAGACACCCACTCGCCTCTGACATTGTACAATTAATGCCCTGTCGTTAATTTATTTTATTTTTCATTTATCTTTCTGAGACTGTCCATACATTTTTTATAACTTAGATACAATCAGTGTAATCTGAATTTGGTTACTCCCCGCCAAGTCCGATATCTTTACATCGCGGATAATGTAGAGTCTACTACTGAGACCTACTCTAGTGGTGTGATCATTCGCAAGTCGTTGGCCGCCTTCGCCGGTTCTGCAACCACCGAGGCACCAAGTGTCACATGCAAAGCTACCTGGTTGATGACTCGCCGTCTAGCTTCCTCTTCCAACGGATTGACCAATATGCCCCAGCTGAACGGCGACCAGCCACATATACAGCCAGGTATTCCACCGGATATCTGCGATGGCAGCGCAGATGGTCTCTCTAAGACAAGCGATGCCAATTCAACTGTAAAGCCTATTCACGAATCCAAAATTCGACTGGAGTCTACACCAGGCACCATCCTTGAGTCAACTGGATCACTAGGTTCCCAGGACGATCAAGATAACTCAGGATTTGGTGACCAATCGTTTAAGCTACGAGTCAACTCGGATGGCCTGGTTCTAGGTCCTTTGCCCCAGCCGCCGTTATCTGGACAACAGCAGCAGCAGAAGCTGTTACTGCTGCCTCAGCAGCGCACCAATCAAGAGACTTGGCCAGACAGCCTTGCCATTTTGCGCTGGTACCAGGCTCGGTTGTCACGTTACCGAGTTTCTGGTCTGGTTCCTTGGACAAGCGACCTGGCTGCTGAAGCTGGTTGGTCGGATGGGCGAGCTCTTCTTTGTTTGCTGCATGCGTACTTACCCGAGGTCATCTCTACCGAAGTACGTACTAATCTAGAACGGCATCTTCTTGCACCACGATCCCCTAGTACGGCCAAGTCGACTAGTGCAGAAGTAGGTCAGACTACTCAACTATTTACCTTGATTTATTTTTGATGGTATGCAATCCAGTTACTTAGAAAATTCAGTTATTTGTAGTTTAGTAAGAATTAAAGTCATATGCTTTCATATTAGTAATTACGATGATGTAGATTGCCTAATGATTACAAAATTAAAAATAAAAAAAAATCTATTTCTTAGTTCAAAATGCTTTTATCTTTTTGGATTTTCTTAATTGTATCTTTGCGTCTTCCATATTGCTATTTTTTGATGTATTTCAGCTAATATCGAGGAAAGTCCGAAAATACATAGTTCTTTCTCGTCCAAATAATTGATGGAGAAACATTTAAGTTTCGTGCTATCGTTTACTCCTAATAGTAATATTGATACGAGAGTATCTTCTTTAGCTATCAATCTAATCATTGTAGTTTGCGTACTTATATTTATATACTTCGCTTAAAATGAAATTTTTTTGAAATATACACTCCTATATCTTTCTCTAAGGGCAACAGTTATCGCTTATTGTATTTATTATGGGACAACTGGTAATTATTTCACATTTTGTTAGTTTTGTTAAAAATGTGTTATTCCAGAATGTATTATTAATTTTATGTGCGTTATGCTGGAGTGATATGGTCACAAGGAATTTGATATTTGCAAATTCGGTATGTAATTAGTATTAATGATTGAAATCCTGCTCAGTCTTTCACTGCAATCGAGTCGCTGAGCTAGTAAGCAGTTCAAAGATAGGCTATAACTCTTCTTCGACTTAGTGATTTACATGCCATTATAATATTTAGCTCCGTTATTTTTTTTAGAAATTGCCACTTTGGCTTAATAAACTCATGATATATCTCAATCCATTTCAATTAATCTACGTAGCTCTTTAATCCCGTACAAACATCTTCTGACGAGGACACGCTAAGAGGATTCACTTTAGAAATGATTCTTCGGTTATATCAAGACAGATTTGGTTTCGACTGTCAAGCTCTGCTAAAATCACCGCCTCAGTCTCCCTCACCATGTGTAGAGGTTGAGTTTTCTGAACTTATTGACGAAGAATCCTCTCAACAATTTCTTCAGGCCAGTGCAGAGACAGCAGCCTGGTCGGCTGTTTGGTTGAGTTATCTTTTGCGAGTTTATAAGGCTTTATGCAACCTCCCGTCCAAAGGCTTGGATGCACTTTATCATTCCGGTGAGACTATTTAAACCTAATTAAAGACATTAATACTATTAACATATATGCCTTCCTTTGTTGATTCCTTTTCTTCACTTTTTTCTATTAAACCAAACATGTACTTTGCACATATCTGAATTTTCATTACGGCTTATAAGTTTAGCTCTTTTATAAATCAATTTGATGTTTTTTTAATATAAGTAGGTCTTGAGACTATTAGATATTCCTGAATAAGAACTTAGTCATCCTAGTTCGATAAAGAATATTTATAATTGATAGTGGAGTTTTTCTCACTGATGCCATTTAAGTCTCACTCAACTGGCTGGATTGCAATCTCGACCTTGCCTAAATCTCATCTGCAGCCCCAACGGAATTGGATATAGGGAATGTTAACCTAGCTACGATATTCACGATTAGTGGATAAACTTGTTGGGGGAGGGGGGCTGATGAGACCCAGGCGAGGTCGAAACTGCAATTCTCTCTGGATTAAAGAGCTTTTTGGGAGACAGCTAAATACAATTCAATGGAATCTAGAGGCCTACTTATCCAATTGTGGGAAATTGTAACTATCACTCGTTATATCACCCTAAGCGGCCTGAGCTAACAAAGTTCTTATTAATGAATTACTGGTAGTCTACAAACCTACTTATAAAGAAAATATCTTTTAACCTTTTTGACTCTTGATCCTGGTGATTCACGCCTGCTACTCACAGCCTTCTATCACTAATTGCATAGCCCCTACTTTGGCATATAAGTATGATTAAAGAATAAATTAGCCAGGGAACTCGCATTCGTTGGTTTCCTTTGCACATCCCTACCTAATTTGTTCTTTTTTCATTAACCAGGATATCAATTGAGTCTATTCTCTTTCAACTACATTGTAAATTAAATCATGCTACCCTTTCTATCGATTAGTCTAATGGATTCCTACAGACTCTGCCGTGTTACCAAACAGCAAAGTCGTCGGCCATATTTAGTAACTGGGACGACCTCATGAATTGGTCGAACTTCTTAAGTTATATTGCCATTTGCTGTACTAACCTGGAATCTGATTTGCGCTTTTACTTGTCAACCAACCCATGAGAATATACACAACACAACGAAATTTAAGGTACTAGCATACCTTTAATTTCGTTTGAGAAGGTGTTTGGAAGGAATTCGTAGATTGTCCTTACTGTATGCCGAAGGAGGGTTGCCTTGGACTTTTGTCTGTTGAATTGTGCGAAGAAGACCTCGGATCATCGTCCTACGACCCCGATGACTCCGTGCTGAGCTTTCATCCGTCATGTGACGGACATCATTAGAGCCAGAAACTATTATTCAAGAACAATAACCAAAAAACCTAAACCAACAAAAGTGGCCAGCTGAGATCCTACTTACTTCTTATACCTTACTTTGCGATCTTAATGCGACATTCTATG